GACTTGTGGGGCAAGTGACTTCACCTCTTTGACTTTTCGTTTTCTGTAAAATGGAGATAATTGACCCCACAGGGCTGGCATAAGATTAAAAGATAATGTGTATGAAAATGCTTTTTAAAAAAATACTCCTGGTGGGGAGGGTAGAGCTCAGTAGTAGAGCGCGTGTTTGGCATGCACAAGGTCCTTGGTTCAATCCTGAGGACCTCTGTTTAAATAAATAAACAAACAAACAAACAAACAAACAAACTTAATCAGCTCCCCCCCAAACATAAAACAACAATAAAGAGGCATAACACCTAGAGGGCCTCTTGAAAAAAATTTTAAATACTTCTGGAACTTTTCAAACATATACACAAGTCAACATTATAATGAATGCCTGCTGTACCCCTCATCAGCAACTATCATCTTATTTTTTCTATAGCCCCATGCACCTTTCCCCCATCCCACTGGAAGTTTTTAAAGCAAATCCCAGACTTGCCCTTTTTTCCTAAAAATACTTCAGTATTGAACTGCTTTTTACATTTTTTCATAAATAAAAAATAATACACGATAGCTGTAAAAAAATTGGAAAATGAAGAATCACGTATAAAAGAGAAAACAAAAATCATCCATAGCCGCATCACCCAAAGACAACCATGTATTGGAGTAGTCTATTATTTATTCTATACATGTATATATATATATATATATATATTTTAACAAAAGTGGGATTCTACAATATATGCCATTTGTAGGTACTATTTTATTTTAATTATAAAAGTAATAAAATCATATTACAGAAAAATCAAGAGAAGAGGAGAAATTACCCATAATCCTCTACCACTTAATATTAAAACTGTTAATATTTTAATATATTTCCTTCCCCTTTTTTCAATTTACAGACATACTTTTAACACCAATGGGATTGTGCTGATCATGTGTTTTTCAAATTATGAATCTGTTTTCATTGAAAGAAACTAATATAATCTTATTGCAGAAAAATAAAGGAAAAGAAAAATATCACCCAGAATCCCACTACTCAATTATAATCACTGTTAATATTTTGGTGTATTTTCTTCCAATATTTTTTCTGTGCATGTATAATTTTAACAAAAGTGGGAGCATACTGTTTATGCAGTCCATTAACTACAAACTTAAACTTAATTATAAGAATAATACAATCATATTGCAGAACATGGAGAAAAGAGAAAAAATATCTCGCAATCCTACCTCCCTACTGACACTGTTGTTAGCTTGATATTTTCCTGACCATTGCTTCATTACTCATATTCATCCATGGTTGGAAACAGTATTTAATTTTCTGCTCTTTGTGCCCTTTGCAACTTGGCATCATATTTATGCAACTTTGTACCCAGTGTTTTTTTAATTTAATATTTTGTTGTGAACATTTTCCCATGAATAAGTTTTTGAAGTCAGGATTTTTTAAAAATCCCTTTAAAAAAGGACACAAAATAAACTTATCTACAAAACAGAAACAGACTCACAGACACAGAGAACAGACTTACAGTTACCAGGGGTTAAAGGGGGTCTAAAGGGACAAATTGGGGACCTCTTGGGCTGTGATGGAAATGTTAGCTATCTTGATTGTGGTGGTAGTCTCATGGGTGTACACATCTATAAAAATTCATCAAATTGTATATCTAAAATGTGTGTAGTTTACTGTACAGGAAACACAATAAAGGTGTTAACAAATTTTTAAAAATAAATTTTAAAAAATTTTAGTGCCAAGGTACCAAGGGATACTCCCTCACCATGGACATTTACATTGCTTTCCATTTTTCACCATTATAAACAATCCTCCAAACATTCTTGAACAAAGATGTGTGCTTTTTAACTTTTCTACATACCTACTGAGTACACATCTCTGGAGACCACTCTGTATACTTAGATAGGGGCTGTCCTGTAAAAAGTCATCATCTTTTATTGGTCCCTAATTTACTGCTGTCATATGGCTCAGGCAGCCCTTGGTTCTGGAAGGTGGAATTTTGAACACAAATCTGCATTTTCCTCTTCCTTCCCTTCCTGAGTTTATGAATCTCCTTCATCCCCTCGCAGTCTGGTTTTTAAATTAATCAGTCAGCAAGTATTATTGAACCCGAAGTATGTGAGCTAATGCAGGATTAGAAGGTAAAAGGAAAAAATCAGAAGGTAAAAGGAAAAACTCAGAAGGTATTTGTTGACCACTTACTACATAGCAGGCACCAACCTAAGTTTTTCTTTGATCCTTGCAACAAGCCCACCGGGTTGCTACCATTATACACCCCATTTAACAGATGGGAAAACTGAGGCACAAAGAATGAAGCCATTTGGCTTAAGATCACACAGCTTGTAAATGGCCAGTAGTGATTTAAACCCAGGCCAACTGACCCTAGAACCTGTACTCCTGACCATAGTTTAGATGCCTCCTTAACTTCCCAGGCAGCAAGGTACAAGGGTGAGGGCAAGGGCGCTGCAGTCAGCCTAACCTGGATCCAAACACCCAGCCTCCTGGCTGTGTGAACTTGGGCAAATCTCTGGGACTCCGTTTCACCTTTGGTAAACCCTACCTCACAGGGTGTGGGAATTAAATGAAATGATGGATGGGATCACGCCAGGTCCAATGCTGGCGCACAGAAGGTTCTTGCTGGCTGATCATCCCTGTCCTCTCCGAGGTTTGCGAGCTCGCGGTCTAGTTGCCAAGTTGGAGATAAGAGTTCAGCGGAGAGCTCTGAGCTTGGCTGGAGCCTACTGGGAAGTCAGTGATCCAGGGCATATTTGCAGAGAAATGCAAATGTCTCCTTTGCTCTCTCCCTGCCTCAACAACTAACCTCCCCTTTCCTCTGCCCCCAAAAGGAAAGGGGTGGCTTTTGTGCTCCGAAGCTGAGTACTTGAAGCCTCTCTCTTCCCTGCTCCCCAGGAGGTGGACAGTGGAGATGACAGGAAGTCACCAGTGGGGAGACCCTTTCTGGCAAGTGGGCGCAGTGAAATGTGGCGGAGGGCGCTCCTTTTTCTGTCCTTCAATGGTCCGGATGGGGGAGGGGGCTGGCTGTTGAGCAACTGCTCCGGAGACACTCCAGAAGCCGAGAAGAACATATGCCTCTTTCTAACAATTGGCCTGGGAGCCCTCCAATAGATGGAGGGCGGATCCGCCACCTCCCGGATCCGGAGCCTGCCGCGGAGACGCGGACGCGGTTTCCAGACCAGCTCCCGAGCTGGGGGCTGAGGAGGAGGGGGTAAGTCGGAGGTCCAAATTAGCAAAACACTATTAGAAAGCCCAGGATCGCTCACGTCAGACAGACATCAAGATGTCTTGAAGGTGTATTTCACGTGCAAACTCGGGACAGATCCCGCCTTTTATCAGAAGTATAGCGGACACGATCCACGATCTTTGTGCAAAGTGAGAAAGTGCAGCGATGGTGTATGGGATGTGGTTGTTACTGGGGTTTGTGTTAGGGTAGAGTGAGGTGAAGGAATAGAGACACACAAGGCAGCCTTGGGGGCTGAGAAATGGGTTTACCTGGAGTCCAGAGCACTCGCCCGAGCTTCCTCCAGGCGTCAGTTAAGGACCTTGACTGTCCCTCTGTTTGCTCCCCATCTTTATGTCAGTAAGCCAGTCAGTCCATTAACAAACAGAACTTTGTTCAAAGAGCAAATGCAGGGCACTTGGAAGTACTTAAAAAAAAGAACTAAAGGAAAGAGAGAGGGAAAGGAAGGAAGAAGGAAGGAAGAAAGAGGGAGAGAGAGAGAGAGACCTTTAGGTCTTCAAATCCAATTAAAAAGACAGAACAGATACATAGCGAAAATGACTTCGTGACAGTCCTTCCCCCTCTTTTTTCTTAACATCAGGACTTTAAGGGGAGGAAAAGAGCATGTTTTATAAACACTGTAAACTGAGTAGTTGTTGCTGAAAGTGTCCAAAGAAGGGAGTTTGGTAGAAGGGTAATCCTGGTGGCCTTCCTGTAAGAGGTGAGACTGGGGACTTCTTGTCCATGAGGAGCCTGAAGTGAAATGAAGAAGACCCGGACCTCTTTTCCGAAAAGATTTGTAAGATAACACCCCAACCTGAGAAAGACGTGCTCCTAATGCAAAATGTTATTCCTGTTACCTGGGAATGATTATATAATCATAATAAAATAACTGGGATACTGGGAAGGCAGGAGGAATCCCTGAGAGCCCCGGGCAAGCTCTTAGTATTCTGCTGCCTGTTCTTGGCTTTCTGGCGTGCCTCGTGAGGTGCATCTGGCCCCCAATCCAACACATCTCCACGTCTCAACCCGCCAGCCTCCTTCAACCCTCGATAACCACAAGAGAGAATCCCTCGAACCCAACCTCAGCTCAGGCCTTCGAGGGAATCTACCGTTGCCGGCCGGAGAGGCCCTCCAGGAGGCTCTGCCCGAAATCTGGCTATTTAAGAGGAAAGGGACCCTCAGCCTTGGCCCTTCAACAAGGGAGATGGTGCAGCCCAAAGAGGGCAGACAGGCTCTGAGAAAGCCCTGCAGAAAACCCAAATCATGCCCCTCGGGCCCCGTCCCATGTGCGTCCCCCTCCTCCGAGTCATTTCCTGAGCCCATAGCTCTCCCCACAACCCCCTGAAGCCCGCTCTGGCCACCCTCTAGATTTAGGTCAGAAAAACAGACACTAACAGCTCTCCCTCGCCTCAGCGAAATTACTAAGTGGAATTTATTGGGCAAGTCCATGCAAGGGTGGTGGGGGAGAGACTGTGCCCCAGCCCGG